TCAAGTCAGTATATCTCTCAAAGATAATCAATAGTGCAAGACTCACTGTACTGAATATAAATTGCATACCTTAGACCCATGGGGATGCCTCTCTTTTATAGTTAACTCAATCCTTGTCCAAGTAGAAGCCTAGCTTCAATGGACTTTTGCTCAGTGCTTAGGCTGGACTCTCTAATAGATATAAATAAACTCCCTAAGAGTGTTATCCTTATCCATGCTGAAGTCCTACATCATTCTAGGACTCTTGTCCCTTATCCGCTTATCTCGGATTTCGATATCTTCGGAGATAACCTTGACCTAGCCGAGATCACCTCGGCGCCACGACCAGGACACGTGGCACTCCGGCTGACACGTCGGCGTCATCTTGGCCATATGTTGGTACTCATAAAATATATCCCCACAACTACCCCCTAGCTTCTATTACCTCGACATTCTGAGGTGATGGAACCTACACTATTCGCTCATCTGTGCCCCTCTGTCCGAGACCAAACTCTACAACAAAAAGTACTTTTAGCGACTAAAACTGCATTTTTCGTCGCTGAAAGTAGTAGAATTGGCGACTAAAATGGAATTAGTCGCCAAAATTGATCACTTTTGCCGACTAAAAGAGTTTAGTCGCCAAATATAAGGGTTTTAGCGACTAAAAGGCAGTTTAGTCGCGGAATGTAGGGGTTTTAGCGACTGAAGATTGTTTAGTAGTCAAAAGTCACGGTTTTTGGAGACTAAAATGATTTAGTAGTCAAAAGTGATGGTTTTGGAGACTAAAAAACAGTTTCGTCGCCGATTATAGGTGTTTTGCCGACTAAAAACTGTTTGATTGCTGAAAGTGAAGCTTTTTGGCTATAAAAAAAAAAAATTAGTAGCTAAAAACAGTCAATTGCCGACTAAAATTCAGTTTAGTCACCAAAAGTGTTTTTTCTTGTTGTATGTAATAAGATAGACTAATAATTTTATTTTATTTTATTTTATTATATTATTATTTTATTATTTTTTCAGATTCACAGATCAGTAATTTCCCCTTTGTTTATTTCATCCTATACAAACATAAAAGAGAAGAGACAAAAAAAAAATAAAAAAAATCAGCCTTTCACTTTTTTTTATTTTAATTATGATTAGAGGATATGGAGAATATAAACTTTATTATTTTTAGGTCAGCACGCCCAGCCCGTTTGACTAATAAGGACTTGGGAAAATTGTTTTAGTCAATAGGATTATGTTGGGTTAACATTTTTAGTCCGATATTTTAAAATGTTAAGTTTGGGATTTATATTTTCAACTTGTTTGGACTGGCACACTATTAAATTAATTAATTATAATATATTAAATTATATATTTTTTGTTAGTATGTGGACTTTATTTTTATTGATTTTATTGAAACTCACATTTATGGTAATATTTAAATGAATTTATTAAGAAATAACATTGTTATTCAAGTTCAAAAATTAGATCTATCTTTTAATTCTATTGATGTGGATTACAATATTTAAGGTAACACTCTATCATATATTTTTTAATTAACCAATCATATCATTTGGTCTAGAAATCCCAAGATAGTGAATCAATTGACTGTTGAAAGTGCAAATTTGATCAAAATTAAAATCCTTTTCTCATCTTAAACTCATTTGCAATTACTTTTATTAAGTGTGTTCAAATGTTGTTCACTACCATAATTTCTTTTTCTTTTTTTATTTTTTCCTTCTCAATTATTTGTTCTAGTCCGAGGACGATGGGCAAGGTGGGAGAAGGAAGAAGAAGAAGAAGAAGGGGCTGAAGGAGAAAATAAAGGAGAAATTGACTGGTGGAAAGCACAAAGATGACCAGCATGCCCATAGCGCCACTACTGCCACCTACCCAACTAATACCACCACCACCGCTGGCTATCCAACCACCGTCAGCAGCACCACTCCTCCGGGGCAGCAACACCACCACGAGGCAGTGGCGGCAGGGCACGAGAAGAAGGGCATCATGGAGAAGATCAAGGAGAAGCTACCTGGCCAACACAACCACTAGAACTGCATGTAGAGAGAGTGAGAGATGAGATATATGTTCATATCATAATGGAGTTTGTTGTTGTCTATGTTGTGTTGCTAGATTGTGCACCTTAAGGTATATAAACTAAACTTGCTTTGGTTTGAAGCTTCTTGTTTCTTGTTGGGATTGTAATAAGTGGGGGGTGAATGTTTTTTGGGAAAAGTAAGGGATCATGAAAATTTTGTCATGAAAATGATCATGAAAAATTTATGATCTTTGGATTACCTTGATTAGTGTGTGGTGCTTTATTCTAAGTGTAATCCAAGGGTCACGAAGCTTTCAAGAATATTTTCATGAAAGATTTTTCATGATACCTAGCATTGCTGATTTTTTTTGTAATGCTGAATTTGGTTTCAATGGTTGTTTGGTAGACTTAATTTGTTTTCACTGAATGACATATCTCATTTATCCCCGATTGACACGTATGGTTTTCACTTCATTTGTTTTCACCAAATGGCATCTCCGGTATTTATCCGCCATACATGTTGTTTGTATGAACTGAATTAGTAATAGGTAGTGGCTTCCTGCAGTCCGAGGGTGTTGTTGGGTCTGTGGAAGCTCATTATGGGTCTCGTTTTGATAATTCGAACCATTCAATGTGTATAACTCGTCGAGTACTATATGCATACAAACAATCACTTTGATTAGATATTGATAGCTATGTGATCAAATCAGTTTTCTGTCAATTGTTTATTTTTTGACCGTCTATTTTTTTTATACAAAATTGATTTGATCACGTAGCTATCGATATCCGATCAACGTGATTTTTTATAAGCATATAGTACTTGACGAGTTCTACACATTGAACGATTCGGATTATCGAAACAGGATCCGTGATGGACCACTCCAAGCCCAACAATACCTTCTAGTTCGATCATGGACGGGAGAGAAGCCCTTAGTAATAAACATCTCATTTAAAAGTTTATACTCTTATACAAAATTTTAACATTTTAGATTGATCAAAGAAAGGGTGAATTACTCTTTACTTCTTTAACTATACCTACTGCCTTGGGTCACTTTAATTCATTGAATTAAAATTTAAATTTATAACATTTGACCATTTTTATCTATTAATTTTTTTTTTATATGAATTTTCATAACAAAAACGCATTCAGTTATTGTTGACTATTTTGACATTTTGAAAGTTAAAAATATAATTAGAGTGTACCAGTAAGGATTTGAAAAGTCTTTACAGATATTTAATAAGTTAAAGTTTATCAAATGACTGTGATGAGGTTCTCTTAACCTCAATGAAGAGGACTTTACTGTGGTGTGTTGAAAGAAGAATCAATGCTTTTAACTTCAATTTGAAACAGACCGCTTGAGTGGCCAAAATATCGCTCGACCATCAGACCCAGAATATCACTTGAGCGATCAACCTATGGCTCAAGCGAATAAACTAAACTCCCAAAACATCACCCTGTTAAACAGATCGCTCGAGCGAACTAACCATCACTCTAGCAAAGAATGCCCCTCTCTTAGAAGTTCAAACCTCCAAACACAAATTCTAGAAGAAACAAAAGACTGCTCAAGCGAAGAAATGGCCACTCGAGCGAACTCAATAACCAACAGACAAAAATTTCTTTGAAACACTAACTCCCAACCTATTCAAAATGAAGTCCAATAACTTCAAACAATCAATCGCAATCAACAAAACAAACAAAAATAAGTATAAACAACAACAATGAGTACTAGATCCTAAATTAAAAAATATAAAAGGGTCAGGTCTTAATCCAGACCGATATAACCTCCCTTCCTTTGGAGATTTCGTTCCTGAAATTGAACCAAGGCAACGATAATAAAACAATACATTAACAACAAACAGTAACTCATGCTCCATAGTATAAAAGACATAACATTCCAACTCAACACACGTATTGATTCCAAATCTCCAAAATGTTCACATGTTACAGCAAGTCGTGAAATGAAGCCAAAAGGGTCAAACATTAACAAACAAGTCTGGATGCTTCTCTCGGACCTCGGCCTCATGCTTCCAAGTCGCCTCCTTAACCTCGTGGTGTTGCCATAACACCTTAACCACTGGAATAGACTTGCCTCGCGGAACTTGATCCCGAGTATCTAATACCTGAACCGGTTTCTCCTCATATGAGACGTCTTCATCTACCTCTAAATTGGTCCAATCCAGCATGTGTGAAAAATCAAGCTCATACTCTTGGAGCATACAAATATGAAACACATCATTAATCATAAAAAGTTTGGGCAATAAGGCCAAACCATAAACTACTTCCCCGATCCACTCTAGAATCTCAAAAGATCCCATGAATCTCGGAGACAACTTACCACTCTTCATAAATCTCATCAAACCCCTCGTTGGTGAGATTTTAAGAAACACATGATCTCCCATCTCAAAAGACAAGAGTTTCCTTTTCTGGTCGGTATAGCTTTTTTGACGACTCTAAGCTGAAGCTAACCTCTTACGGATAAGTGCGACCTTCTCCGTCGTTTTCTAGACTAATTCTAGACCCAACATAGGTGCATCACCCACCTAGGCCCAACACACAGGTGATCTACACAATCAGCCGTATAGGGCCTTAAAAGGTGTCATTCGAAAGCTCACCTGAAAGCTATTATTATATGTGAACTTTACCAAAGACAAATGCCTCTCCCATAACCACTTAAAATTGAGAACGCAATCCTGAAGCATGTCTTCTAGAATCTGAATAGTGCGCTCGGACTGCACATTTGTCTGAGGATGATAGGCGGTGCTAAATGTCAACTTAGTGCCCAAGGCACTCTGTAGGCTCTGCCACAACTGAGCTATGAAACGCAAATCATTATCCGAGATAATAGTCACCAGGACCCCATGGAGTCGCATTATGTCTCTAACATATAACTCAGCAAGAAAATCCACCGAGTCACTCATGTACATAGGTATAAAGTGCGCAGACTTAGTTAACTGATCAAAACTACCCACATGGCATCATTACCCCGTTGAGTCCTCGGAAGACCCACAACAAAATCCATCGTGACATACTCCCACTTCCACTCGACTATAGGTAAGGGCTATGACAAACTCGTTGGTCGTTGGTGTTCGGCCTTCACTTGTTGACAAGTAAGGCACCTTGAAACAAACAAAGCCACATCTTTCTTCATCTCCCTCCACCAAAATTGGCAGCAAAGATCATGGTACATCTTCTGGCCTCTTGAGTGTACTATAAGGCGCGAATGGTAAAACTCTCGAAGTACCTCCTCTCTACAATACTTTGGCACAAAAAGGTGGTCTAGTTACCTCACACTTGAGTACGAATGAACATTCAAAACCTTCTCTATTTTCCTACTAGAGATCTTCCCTCAGATAGTCTATACCTCCAAATCATGTTGTTGTGCCATCGTAACCTAACTAACCAAGGTAAGTTATGCAACCACGGTAAATAAAGTGGCCAACTCAATGGACTCGCCAAGGTGTAACTCAAACATGCTGATAGCCCCCAACATCTCCTACTCTCGGATGGCAATACTCACTACTATGCTCACAGATTTCCTACTCAACGTATCGGCCACCACATTGGCCTTTCCCAAATGATAATGCAACTCAAAATTGTAATCCTCAATAAACTCCATCTACCTCATTTGCCCCCGTATAGATAATGCGTCCAAATTTTTAAGGCAAAGATCACCACCGCTAACTCTAAGTTACGCATAGGATAATTTCTCTCGTGGGTTTTCAATTGCCATAAACCATAGGCTACAACTTTCCCTTCCTGCATCCACACAACCAAAAATTTCCATAGACGCATCACATTATACAAAATAACCCAAACCCCTCTCTAGAATAATCAAAACTAGAGCAGTGGTGAGTCTAATCTTAAGTTCTTAAAACAATTTTTCATAAGCCTTACCCCACAGAAATCTAACTCATTTCCTCGTCAATCTAGTCAACGGCGAAGCCAACCTTGAGAAACCTTTCACAAAAGGTTGGTAATACCTGTCTAAGCCCAAGAAACTCCAGATCTCAAAGGCATTCTTCGGTTGCTCCTAATCTTGCACTGAGTCTATCTTAGACAAATCTACAATCACCACTTCCCCGGACATCATATGGCCTAGAAACTTAACTTTGTTAAGCCAAAACTAACACTTCCTGAACTTGGCATACAGATGGTGTGCTCTAAGAAACTCAAGTACAACCCACAAGCATTTCTCGTGTTCCTCCTCGGAGGGTGAGTAGACTAAGATATTGTTAACGAAGACAACTAAACTGATCTAAGAACTTACGAAAGACTCAATTCATCTAGTCCATAAACAAAGTTGGTGCATTGGTTAGCCTAAAAGGCATTACTAAGAACTCGTAATGGCCATACTGCGTACGAAATACCATTTTCTAAATATCGTCCTCCTTCACTCTCAACTAGTTATACTCTGATCTCAAATCTATCTTCGAAAAACAACGAGATCCTTTCAATTGGTAAAAAAATCTTCTATTTGCTGCAGTGGGTATTTGTTCTTAATAGTTACCCAATTCATCTTACGGTAGTCAATGCACAACCGCAATGTACCATCCTTCTTCTTCGTAAAGAGAATCGGTACTACCTAAGGCGAGGTACTAGGGTGAATAAAACCCTTATCTAATAAATCTTGGAGCTGCACCTTCAACTCACATAACTCGACTAGCGCAAACCTATATGGTGCCATAGAAATCGAAGTCATGCCTAGTGCCAAATCGATAGAGAACTCAATCTCTCTATGTGGTGGTAAATCGGTAAGATCCTCTAGAAAGACATCCGCATGCTCTCGAACTACCCTTAGCAAGTCACTCCAAACTGTACTACCCTCATCAGCTACTGAGATGGCAAAAAGGATACTCAACTTTCCTTGACTCTTAAGGTCATACAACAAAGGAATAAAACTATCACCTCGGTCACACAAAAAGTAGAAACACTCTCTTGATGTTGTACACACCGATACCCTCATACAACGGTATTCTATTGAAGTCCAAAAATAAGTCAACCAATATATAGCCAGAATCACATGAAAAGCATGTGTATCAAGAACAACAAAATCAAAAAAGAGTGGATGATTTGCGACCTCAATTTCACAAGAGCGGCATACTCGACCCAATACCACTCTACCCCTAATAGGTGTCTTAACAAACAGAGGAGACTCCAATTGATCAAACTCTAATCCCAAAGCAGATGTAAAA